AAAAGTCCTTTCTAAAAAAGGTAAATGGTTTTTAGGCCTCTTACCTCAAGAGAATGGAAAACTTTTGGAATTACAATTTTTATGACCAAGTCATAAAAATTAGGGAAAATTCATAATTAAGAGGTGATGAATCATTCATTTCAAAACTAAGAATAAACGTTTCAAAGTTCAAAAATTAGATATTTATATTAATATATTTATGATTTAATTAATTATATATTGTTTATTAATTAAATATATTAATGTCACAGATCTATACAATTTGGTCACAAATTAATGATTTAGTTAGTCACATATTATTTTTTGATCACAAATTATTCTATGATCACAATTCAAAAATTTTATAGGTCACAATTTGTTGTTCATCGATCACAAATCAAAAATTTATGAGTCATAATTTATTTATCGATCACAAATCACAAATATTATGAGTCACAACTCATAATACAGTCACGAATTATCAGTCATAAATTAACAATTTTTTAGGTCTCACGTTATTTCTTGGTCACAGTTTATCTTTTTCATTAATCACATTATTTATTAGTCACAGATTAACCAATTTAATAGTCATAGTCAGCCAAATAATTTGTGACCATCATCAACACTTCCGACCATCAGCTCTACCCCTTCACACCACACCATTTGGAGAATCCATGTCTCTAGCGTTGCCCAAGTTCACGAAGCGATGACGGCATCCCCGATGTCATGCCTTAATGTTGGATGTACCATCTCGTCGGGGATGGCAAGTTGGTGGTCTTCGATGAAGGTTGTGTAAATGAATGGAAAAGAGAGTGAGAGGGGAGATAAGGTTACGGTAGAGAGAGAGAAGAAAATAGGAAAATGATTAGGGTTTTGGATAATTTGATTTTGTAATATAATTATTAATATTAAAATTTTTAATTACAATCTGATTTTTGAAAAACGAAACTTTGAATCTGATTTTTGTAATCGGATCTTAAAACACATGGATGGGTGTAACTTTTACTAAAAATTAATTGTAAAACCAAGAGCATAAGAAAAATAAAAGCAATCAAAGTGCTCTTCATAAGTATATTTTATAACTCATCTAGTTCTTTAAATATGGATATTTATGAGTACTTATGATTAATTATGACATAATCTCGTGTATTTATTGTTCATTAGGTAAAAATCAATAAATTAAAGTGAAATTTGAAGAAATGAACAAAAAATTGACAAACAAGGATGATTTCTAAAGTTAGGGAATCAAATTGTAAATATTCAATAGTTGATTCAAATAATAAAACGATGATTGGAGATTATCAATTGGGTGAGATTTGAAGTTAATGGATTGAAATTGTGCAAAGAAAATGATCAAATCAACCCTAGAAAAAGTTCAGTGACCGATTGTAAAATCCTCAAAGCCAAGCGTACGCATAGGGCTAAAGCCTTGTGCATGCACATCTGAATTTCGAGCAATCTAAGAAACTTGAAGCTGAATCTCCACTTCCATGCACACGCAAGATGAATATCCAAACATGCCATGGGCAATTATTTGATAGATGAATACAATAAGAAGCATATGGAGCTCACCCACGAGGTTGACCGATATCAATATTACAATATGAACCCTTATGATTATATAGTCATAGATGTAACTAAGAGTTCAATATTTTCAAGAAAATTACAATGCACTTTATCTCGTACTAAAAATATACAATTATCACTTAAGTTGTATGAACCTACTTGGTCGAGATCATATTATACTTAGTCCCTTGGAAAGCATATATTACACGTTTCTTAGTATCTTTTTTGTCTCCATTTTATCATCCATATAGAAAAAAAGGGAAATATCATTTAACTTAGTACCTATACAGAATTATGGCATCTTTTAACAGTGAACTCGATTTTTGTTTTTTAATTTTTATGAACTTAAACACATGTTAACATATAAAATTGTCTTAACAACAATAATAAAAAGATTTAATTCAACAGAGCAACTTTATGTGTTCATATCTAAAGAGTGAATCATGTTGGAGCTTTCTAAATAATTGATAACGAATTAAACTTTTGGCACTTTGACTTCATGAGTGGCTAGGAACATTTCCATACGTCATTCGAGAAGTAAATTGCAAGATCCCAAGTAAGTAAACCTCTCTTTCTTTTCGTACTTATTTCATATGGTTAAAATGTATAAATATTTTACTTAAATTATCCTTATGTGAACATGATATTTGATCATTACTTTTTATGTCATAAATACTTCTCATGACATTTTCATACATGTTAATGCATTTATAATTATACATGAAATTTCAGAAAATAAATTTTTTTCAAATGCCAACGAGTCAATGACTATTTCAAAAAGACATATATCCACAACATTTTTATTACAAGGTGTTTGTCTATGCCATGAAAGGTATGAATGAGAAATGGAGCGTGGGAAATCGGCACTCTTGACCAATGCTCATTGATAATGTTAATGTTAACCAATTTACGGTATTACTAGTTGGACGAATCTAGTTCCAAATAATAATTGCCCACTACATTTTAATTGGCAAGGCACTACACCAAAAAGAACTCACATTATTAATGTCAATGTTAACGTTAAAGTTTTTTTAAAAATGAACAAAAAAGGGATACATATTAAGAAATAGTTTTTTTTTTTTTTTTTTTTTTTTTTTTTATGT